TTAGGAATCGCGACTCTCCATGTGTTTTATTACGAAAAAATATCAAATGTGAGAGTGTAAAGCATAAAAATATTGTTGGTGATCCAGAGGTCTGAATTCTAGATCCCTCCAGATTTCGAACTTTGCACTGTAATTGGTTTACACATTTAATTAGACTGTATATTACACAAAAATGTATAATTTTGAATTCTTTTTTCATATCAATAACAAGGACAAATTAAAAAGGTGCAGGGAAACTGAAATTCTGCAGATATTTAGCACTCTGTGGAAATAAGTAATAACAAAGAAATTAATTATGACCACAAGAAAATCTTTCTAATACATATATTTTTATTGTTACTTTTAAAAAAAATTATAATTAATGATATAATGTGCAACAGAATTAATCACAATGTAAAACCACACTATTTTTTTTTTTTTTTCATATTGTTCAAATTTTCTATAACATGAAATTGGAGTATCCGGTCCTCACCTCAATGCAGAGGTATCACCGAAGCCATAGGCCAAAAAGTTAACTAATTATACAGCAAAAGCTAAAGAGTAACATCAGAATTTAAAGAGAATTTAGAATCCTAGTGATAAATTTTGAAGTCTTCTGACTAGAGGATGTGTTGGCCTCACCAACATCTTTATTAAGAATTAGATACAAGTTTTAAATTGATTAAATCTATAATACAATATTATATATAAATAAAGATTACAATCAAGTTTGAGATAATATTATCAAGTAAGAATATAATGTTACAAAGGAAAAAGATATATATTCCAAAAATACATATTTTAATGATTTTAATCATACAAGAAATATAATAAGTCAAGCACAAACATTTTATACATATAAGTATTATGAAGAAAAATAGATTGTATTTTCATTGACATACAGAAATTGCATGAGTTTTGATAGTTGAGATCGACCCTTTTCTAATAGAGCAAGTTTACAAAGTAGGTTGATATTCAGACTTTGTGGAAATAGCTCTCTACGTCTACTATCCAAGCTAGGGCAGTCTAATATCATATGAAGTGCATCCGCGGAGTCTAGACCACATGAACATCGACATTGTGATTCTTTTATCTATTGAAGTAACAGGGAAAGGCTTCATGATTTGATTGATGAAAAAATCATTAAAGTGTCTCCTTTCTGAGACTTTAGGAAGAATTTTAAAAGTGGATCTGCCTGTATCTTCGTCTTGCCATCGACATTGCCAGAGTACGAGAGCTTTCTCTTTGGCTTTACGCACTATGGTGCTAATTGGGATCTTGCGGTTGATGCGATTGGAAGATGAAATTCCATTCTTTGCTAGTTCATCTGCTTTCTCGTTACCTCGGTAACCACAGGGTCCACGTATCCAGTGTAATTTTGCTTTGGTGATAAAGAGCAGCTTTTTAACTTCTATAATTTCTGGATTTAATATATCGAATTTTGCCAGAGATTTTAGTACTGCTTGACTGTCTGTGTAAATCTGTGCTCTTTTCTTATGTGTTCTTAATAATAATAATTTTCTTATGTGTTCTTAATTAACCATAATAAGGCCGACTTCAACACTTGTGTTTCCGCTTGATAAACGGAACAATTTTTGTCTAGTTTGTAAGATTTCTCTTCTTGCAAAATGCCATTCCAGTACACACAGAAGCCAGCTCCTATACCTTCATCATTTTTTTATCCATCTGTAAATAATTCAAGATCTTTATTAAGAGGGAGATGGTCATCCCATTCATATGTCTTTATTCTAGCTGGGTGAGTATACTATTTGCTCAGCTGATAGTCAAAATCTTCTTTGGGAAAGTTAATGTCTTCGAAGGAGAAGTCTGACCATCCTCTTTTGGTTCGTTGAATGGCACTTTCCTGGTCTAATTTAATATCCAAAGGGATTAGACCTGCCAATATTTGTAGTGCCGAAGTTGGAACTGTGTTATAACTTTTAGTCATGGCTAGTAAGGCCACCCTTTGAATGGTATTAGCCTTATTTCGCATTTTTACTGTAGGTGGATACCACCAAAGTGCACATGCATAAACTGCTGTTCTTTCTACTGCTCGTTTATATAATTCTTTTATTACTGCCTTGGACAGACCTGGTAGTTTCATAAGGTTATTAATTATTTTACATACCTTTATTTTCATATAGTCCAGATGTGGAAGCCATGTTAGGCACTCATGACACCAAGATATTTTTTTGCTTTTGGCATTTGATGGTTATATTTCCCAGTTTTATCATTGGGGCAGAGTATGCAGAGCCCCTTTTTTTGGTTGTAAAAAACATTGAACTAGATTTTTCTGGTGAGAAGCTGAGCTTGCTTAAGATTGCCCATTCTGATATTTTATTTCAAGGCATTATGTGCTCTAGTTTGGATCTGCTGATGAGTTGAGCCCGTAACAGTGAACAAAAAAATCATCAGCATAAGCTTGAACTTGGACTCCTTCTCCATAATCGATTCTCAAAGCTGTATTCATCACTACATTCCAAAAGAGGGGTCCAGAGTTTGAACCCTGAACGCATCCCTTTTCCTGGGCATGGTAGTATTGCTCATTATTGGTTTCATAAACAATTTGATGGTTGTCCAGCATAGATTCAATAACTTTATATATGTTAATTGGACATTGAAGAAATTGTAATTCTTTCAGCAGGAAAGGCCACCAGATATTGTTAAACACACTTTTTATGTCCAAGGAGATGATATTCGTATAGCAGTTTTTCCTTCTGTTATCTTCTACAGTATATATAATATCTCTTATAGCATCCGTTGAACAGACGCCAGCTGTAAATCCATACTGTTTTTGGCTTAGTTTGCCATTTGAATATAAATAGTAATTTAGCCTGTTTGTAACCAGTTTATCGTAGACTTTGCTCCATGTATTTAATAGACAGATTGGTCTATATGCTTCTGGAAGTTCTGTATTTTTTCTTTCTTTTGAGAAAAGAACAAGCTTTGCTATTTTCCGACATTCAGGATATATTCCTCGTCTTAAAAGCTCATTAAAGAGTTCAGTATGCAGATTTGGATTAGCATAAAATGTTTCTAAGATTATTTCTTTTGGAAGATTATCCAATCCTGGAGCTTTTCCCGAGTTTAATGATTTAATTGTATATTCAACTTCCTGCATAGTGAATGGGAGGTCTTGTTTTGCTCCATAACTGCTTTGGAGTTGGTTTCTGACTGAAACATGCTTCTGAGAATCGAGTGATATCGTTTGGGATATCATAGATAATGATTTTTGGAGAGCGTTTTAATGGTCTCACTATTTGGAGTTCCTTCTTTAAGTCTGGAATGAAACTTATTTCTTTTTCTAATATTTCTAAGTCATTTTCTTTATTTGTTTCAATCAAGATTCCTCCTTTCGAGACTTGTTTTATTCTTTTAACTCCAATGTGGAGTTTAGAAGGATCGATGGATTTAAAAATTTTCTTTTTTACTGAATCAGATTTACAACAAAATTCAAATTATAAACGGGATGTACTTTTAAGACACAAAATAATGATGAATATCCTGTAGAAGCATACAGAACACTCCAAGTTATACTATTAATAGAACCAAATAATGCTTTTAATTTCAATGCATGAAGCCTACACATAAAACATGCTTGATCAAAATCTTTTCCATTTTTATTAAGCAACTATATATTACTTTAACAGATCAAAAAAATTCTAATAACCAGGCAGAATGTTAGACACTAATAAAAATTTAATTAATTATGTCCTTTTACAACTTGTATATTTCATGTATTAATAATGTGTATTTGGTTTTCAAAAGATGATTAAAAAATGGTACTTGCATATTAACACAACCAACTTAGCAGAAGCCTCCAAATTTTCAAAATAAGCCAAACTCTGGCAACCATGTGCATAACCATTCTGGTAATCATGTTCATAACAATCATTTCAATCAAGTAATGCCACCATTTTTGTAGACGTTCTTTTTTCATCTGAACTTGGAATACCAAGTTCAGATGGTTTTTATAAGCAAACTGTGATATTTCTTACCTTGGTTTTAAAATATGAGTTTGTGGAATTTGCCAGCAATGGAAGAAACTGGAATAAAATTTCTGCAGGAATACAGAACTTTGCTGAAAATTTTCCAAAAGGAACAACGAGGAAATGTTTTTTCTGGATAGCCACTATTTACGAGGTTAACATATAACTGTGCAATTGTTTGACATTTTTTAAGCAAAAACAGATCACTATGCACTTTGGGAGAAGAATAATGTAAAAGAATTATGGAAAGATTTGAAGAAGAATGTAAGTGTTTCATTTTTTTAATATATCACATAGTCCTTATTTAATATTTCAAATTTGTATTTTAAATTGCTAAAGTATATTTTCTTTTCATATGCTGATAATGTTTACCGACATATGATAAATATCAGTAGTTTGGGAATCTTTTCTAAAAAAACAGAGGGCGTAAAATCACCAACTTGCACCCAATAAGTAGCTTTTACCTTATGAGGCATTTTCTCCCTCCTTTCTGCATGCCCTTCCTGGTGTAACAGTAGCACACTCCGCATATTCAAGAGGTCCAGGTTTGAGTCCTGGTGAGGGTGTTGGCCTTTTTTTACAACTCCCGCTTCAAAGCAACTTTAAAAACTTTGCAGTGGCATCCAAACTAAAAGGTGGTGGATGACGATTCTTCACCAATAGGATTTGGTGAAACCTAATTCCCAGTCGCCCTTTAAATGGGGCGGTATATAAGGTATTTTCTCCCTCTTTTCTGCATGCCTTCGTAGTGTAACGGTAGCACACTCAGTGCACATTTGAGAGGTCCAGGTTTGAGTTCTGGTAAGGACATTTTCCATTTTTCATGTCTCCTGCTTCAAAATATCCTAATGACTTTACAACCTTTTCATTTGTAAAAAATTGCCAGATTGTGCCAAGGTGGTTACGTTACTATGCAAAAATTAAAAAAGCCCAAAGTAAAAGTAGCTAAAAAATAAAAAAAGCCTGCAGAAAATTCAAAAATAGTGATTTTCCATAAATTTTTCACATAAAATTAAAAAAGAATCAACTTACGTCCACCAATTCAACTTTTAAATTACTACATTCTTGTTGTAATGCTACTATTTTAAATTCCATTTTGTCAAGTTCAATTTTCTTTTTCCGTTCAACTTCAAGAACCTGACTTTTTGCACATTCTGTTTGCTTTTTGGCCCATCTTAACTTTCCTTCCAATTCTTCAATTTTTCTAGCATCAAACTAAAAAAAAAATTTTAATTAATAATACAAAATTAAACATTTTAAACAATTTAAAAACCTTTAAAACAAAATTAACATTTAGACTAGAAATACTTAAATATTTTTCATTCAAATATACATTTTGGCATCAATACCTTCAGATGATGATTTACTCTAATTAAATAACAAAAATGACAACAAACTTAAGATATGAGAAATAAGATAACTAACTTTTAATGCAATCAAGATAGATGAAAATAAAAACATTCTCATATAGAATGGTGTTCTTCAAACTGAGATGGGGAAACATTGTGAATAAGAGAATATTAGATAATCTAAATACATTATAGATATCAGTAATGTGTCAAATTCATTTCTAAGAAATATCCACTTACCAAAACATGAACAGAAAAATTTTTCATATATCAGTAGATAAGTACGAGGTAGAACCCAAAAATTTATAAACTCTGTTTGTAAATCCCAGGCACTACAACCACAATGACTATTGTATTATATTATGGCCTTTTATAGCAAGAACGTACCATCTAATTTCAACATTCTTGCTATAAGGCCAGGCATTACATGCAACATATTTAATGCTTGACAAAAGATGAAAAATGGGCTCACTTCTGCAGTGTCAAAATTTCTGCTCACTTAGGGAAAAGTCCAGAGGAAAGTGACTGTATGTTCACGAATACCACACGCCATCGAATAAGATGAGAACCTGTTTTTTCCGATGTACCAAAAAGAAAAAATGTCCACGCATAATATCACTTTGGTGGAATTCTGATGGAACTGACACCATTTTGTTATACATAAGCAATTAGCATTTGATCTCCTTTGCTTTTGTGCTTCATAAAAAAAAGACTTTCGCTGTTTTCTATAGTTTTGTTAGGCCCTTTAATTTTACTGGAAACTCCATTTAGAACGCTGAGAGTACAAATTTCCTGCTTGTAATTATTTCTCATTCATAACAACAAAAGCTAGCACATTGAGAATCAGTCAGGGTTACGTCAAATGAAAATGCAGGTGTTATAAGCATATTGTTTTGGTACACTTATTCATAACAGGTGCTAAATTGCACTGCTTCGCGACTTCATGGTTGACAGGAAAATATGTAAGTACCTATATTTAGTATTTAAATCAAATTCCCTATAAACATGAAAAGCAGGGATACCTAGAACTAGATAGTATATTAAAATATACTATTTATGAAATGAATAACTATTTATTAAATAAATAAAATATTATTTGTAATATACACAATGCACAGGACCTAACTTTTCTCTGTTATTGGGACATCAAGAGATTTTTACACTATCCCAATATTAGCATAATAAGCACTCTCTTACTTTACAAAAAAACTTTTTCAGTCTCTTGGCTTATAAAGAACATCAAATTTTATTAATTGATAACAACAGATTTGTTTTAGCAATTGAGTAATAAATATAATTTTATTAGGATTTATAAATGAAATAAGAAATGCTGTCCTTTCAAATTAAAATACTGCTATTCAAAACTTTATAAAACTTTTAATCTGAGTGCATGCTCAGCATATAACATTACAGCATTTATTTATAGTTAAAAGGTTACACTTGTTCTGGTAATGCTCATTAATTCAATAACCTTAACAGATGTGAAGCTAATCATCACTATCTGAAAAGACGATAAAGGTTAAAAATGTTTTTATTTAAACAGAATTTAGAACATAAAAGCACTCTCCATGGCACAAATTCCATGGCTTGTGGTAATGAAAAATAAAACACAAAAGTTCCAAATTAATTCAAAGTTTGAACAGTGGTCAAAGACTGCACAGTTTATTAATATACAAGAAGCTCACTCCCTATTCTACTGAAGTGCCAGCATTAAAATGTCAGCAGAGCCAAATCACACAGCCGAACAAAAACACAGAGCCAAATCATTGCAACTATCAGAGCTGGCAGGAAACTAACATTTTGCATGCACACAATCCCAGAAACATGCTTTTTCTTAAAATCTAAAAACCTCAGTTTAAATACTGGCTATTCATTTGCATTTTGGTGAGAAATACAGAAAGGGGAAATTATAGTAAAGGTTGAAATTATAAATAGCTGGTTAATTATCATAAATAGTTAACATAGTTGTTAACATAATTGTGGTGGAACATAGTTAATGGTTTTCATTCCATGACAGGAGAACTTTCACTTGAACTCAAGTTGCAAATACTTTTCCTGACAGACAATCAAATCTAATGTTCAAAAAAGGGATTTTCAAGCACAGAAGGCATCAAATGACCACTTTCTTTTTTTGGGGGGGTGGCATAGTGAAGGCATGAAGAAATAGAGAACTATTCATGATCTGGTTACCTACAGATGCACTCTTAATCACTAAGGCTTTTCTTAATACATAAAAATTAAAATGTTATATTTTCCCAGAAACATTTATTTTAATAGTTAAATTGTTAAAAGTTTGAAAAAAAAAAAAAAAAAAAAAAAAAAAAACACCCTACTGAGCTTTTATATGCAGATTTTATGATATTTTATAAAGCAATAATTGAACTGGTAGTACTTATTCAGTAAGCAATTAAAAATTAAGGAGTAAAATGCTAATAAATTATATTTGCTTAGACAAATATGTCTGATTGTACCGTCCACAATATTTCTGCAGGATTAAATTATGCTATGAACATAAGAGAAGTCCAAATTGAAAACTCTCAAAATTAAACTATGTAACGCCGTCTTGGTTTTGTTTATTGATGGCAATTTGTGTTCTTAACCAACAGAAAAGTAAGAGACAATATTTTATAAGCATAGTAAATACAATTTTAATTATTATAGATTAGTGGCAAGAATGAAACCATGTGTAAAAATTCGTTTTGCACTTATCTTATTTGGAATAAAAAGTAAGCTTTTAATGATATTTATGCGTTTATGTCATACATCATACAATTGGCATTACACTCCTTAATTTTTAATATCTTACCAAATAAATACTACCAGTTCAATTATTGCTTTGTCAAATATCATACAAATTTTCAAATGAAGGCTATTCAGTAGGACAGGCCAAAAAAACACTCTCTTTTTTTCTATCACTATATCTTAGAAAAGTTGCCTACTGCCTAGCTAGCAAAATGGGAAAACAATTTTTTCAAACAAAATTATAACTTCTATTTATGCATCACATTCAAAGGCTTTTAAAAATTGTGTAATTTTTTATGTTTTTTATCAATTTTTTACAGTTACTAAACTAATTAATATCAAAATGCTCTGCTTTCTAATGTGAATTTTGAGACGTGAAGAACACAAAAAAGTTTAAAATCTATAATTTCAAATTCTTTATTGCTTGTGCAAAAACTCAAAAAAGAAAAATTTCATAATTTTTGCTACAAACCTTTTTATACGGTGCCTATAATTATCAAAGGCATTCTCTTATGCTACAAATATTATGAAATATTGGGTTGGCAAGAAAGTAATTTCAGATTTTTAGAATCTAATGATTCTAAATTTTTCTACACAAAAAAATGAAATGAATTCAGTCAAATATTTTCCATTTTGTTTGATGACCTTTTGCTTTCTGGTAACTTTATGATTCTGCACTCTACAGAACTTCTGGTCTTTATAGCAAAAAAACTCAATTAAGTGCGATTTTTAGGTCATTGCCATTACTGAAATTTTTACCATTTAACCTGTTCAGGACCAGCGTCCCGTATACCTGACGCAACGATTCCACTCCTACCAGCCCAGTGTCGCGTATACATAACTTTAAAATGGAATGATTTATTTGAATTTTTAAAAGCTATTAGATGGTGCTAAATGGTAAGCTGTTTCCACATGGGTTGACTAATATGGCATTTGATCTTCATGTACTGGCATTAGTTTCTATTATGTGCTTCTGGTTTTGATAGATTTATTGGTACAGTAGATGTCCAGAAATCCGTAATGCTTGGGACCAGAGGTTGTGCGGATTCAGGGGTGTTTGTGGGACACCAAAAAATCCCCTGAAACTTTTAAGGACTTACTTACCGACATTTTGGAGTTTCGAGAAGGGGGGGAAGAGAAATGAAAAATTACAATTATGAAGTATTGAATGACCTAATTATAAAAGTTCAATGAATTACTTTTTTTTTGCAAAATTAATAACCATAAATTTTCAAACATATAAACTACTACATTTTATGTAAATATTTTAAATTACCTGAATTAATTCTTTAAAAAAAATTATCTAATTTCTGCTGCTTTTTTTTTTATTTTCTGATGTTTGTGGGCTTGTCTTTCTTTTGTGGTGAACTTCATAATTGCAGGAAGGTTGACTTTTATTTTCATCATTTACAGTTGAAGAAATTTCCTCGAGAACTGCACATGCAGAGGTAGAAGCAGTTTGCTTTTCTGCTAACGTAGAAGGTTTTTCAGAGACTTTTATAGGTGACTCATCTGAAATAAATGTTTTTAAGTCCTCTTGATATGTTTTCCAACTTCTGTTCATATTCAGTAAGAGATTTTTGTGAATTGGATCAGTCATTGGATGAGCCATATTTTTCACATGAGGTTTCTTTAGAAGCCATTAAATCATATTTAATAGTCTGCACTGCATCTAGGGAATCAATCTTAAGAGAGGTTCTATAGTCAGTGACAAGTGTATCTATTAAGTTGAATGCACTTTCCACTAATGGGCCATGGAAGCAGCTAAGGCAGGCTTTGACCAATTTAGCCAATGTAGGATACTTATAATCATTTGTGAAATCATCTTTTAAATTAAAAACTTTAGACCAATATTTATCAATTGTACACTTGACTTGATTTCCACTTTCATCAGATGTGTAGAGCAAAAATATCAATATCACTCTGGTATAACCTTATTTCAGCTTCTACTTTTGACTTTTCATTATCACTAAAAAAAATGGGACATAAAAGATGATAATTTTTCAAAAGCTAATATTGTACTGGTTTTACCTCTTAGCTCTGGATCTAATGCTGTAAAACTAATTAGATATGAATTTTTAAGGGGTAATTTCTGTTTCATGTGCTGTGCTGTATTAGTATAAG